CCCTCCCTCCCTCCCCTATAACCTGTTACTTCCACTATTAGCAAGATGAACTGCTTGCCGAAACTTTCTAGCCGAGACATATTCTCAGTAGAAGCTGACTGGATCCACGTGACAGTGCGTTTGAAGTATGTCCTTGGTCTGCTCGACATCCCTAGGCAGCATAACTTATGCAAGATTGCGTGAGGCTCCTAGAATGCATGTCCCCATTGTGGCAATGAATGAACTTGGCGTCCCAGCGAAGGATGCTACTGTGGAATTAGTGGCATCTGCTGGAGTTGGCGCTGTCGCCTTTGGTCTGAAGTGTGCTGTTGAAAACTCGCTCGGGGAATCGTTGCGACTTGCGAAAGAGGCTCGCAGCACAGAGAGTATGCCACGTGGTGGTGGGTGGCTTTGGGTGCTGTTGGTGGTGGCATCTATGGCTTCGCAAGCGGGCTAGTTCACGGAGTTGGCGATCGTGGGATTCAGCAACATGCACAAACTGCAGCTTCACGTCGACTTCGAAGAAGTTCCGGATGCCAAAAAAGAAGTAGAGACCTTTTGTTCAAAGTGTAAGTCTCGTGTCGCAGCCGACTGCTTTGCAGCTGCCTCAGATGGGTGCAGCTGCTGTTGTATTCAGCAGGTTGGCATGGTCAAGCCTGATGGCCGGACCTTGGATTCTACAGCATTCCACTCCAGATCAAAGTATTTCTGGCTGCTGGAGCAGCTTCCCGCACAGTTTTGACCATGGTTTGAGCGCATTCATCTTAGGCATTCACACTGGCAGCATGCACGAGTGCCCGCAGAGTCAGTGGCAGAGTGGCACAAAACAACTGAAGTCATTGCTTCGCTCGGGGACATGCACTAGACATAGATGCAGGCAGCGTACCAGAAGCGCAGCTGGTCAATGGAAATCAAATCGGAAGCATGTTGCTGTTTGGCCCAAGGCATGTTCGGAGAGGACGCACCAGAAGAGTGCTGATCCCAGTTAATTAGGACACAGCGGCAGCTTTTCATCAATGATCCATGTTTTGTTTCTGTCCCTGATCGCAACACTTGGGGCTGTGACGATGTGCAGCGAGAGCAGTGCAGATCTTGACTCTCAGAACTGCGGGGCCAGCTGGCTGCAAGAAAGGTACCAGCTTCATTCCGGCAACGAGACTCTTGCCGGGGCCCGGCACGTAGACTGGGAACCACATGTGTCTGGCAGCGAGCTCGCAGTGCTTGTGTTTCTTGTGTTCATCCTGATGCACGAGTGCTGGGTTGGATGTGGCAACCTCCCGATCTTGGAGGCCCAATCGAAGAGGGCATGCTCAGTTTATTGCTTTGTTGATCAACTTTCCATTGCAATTGTCATCCCGTTGTCCATGGATTATGCCTTGGCTATGGGAGAGTTTGTCGCTGCCAGCGGAGCTGTACTCGGAGTTACTTTGCCCGCTCAATACGTTGGGTATCGCATCGGTATGTCGATGCATTTCGCGAGTGATCGGTTTAGGATAAAGTTGGTGGTCTGTCAAGTTGTGGCACTGCTGTGCTATCTTGGTCTCACTCTCCTTCTACGATCTGCGGCACGCTCCGGCCATGCTTTGAGGCAGACGTTTTGGATCGCCATTTGCGTGCAAGCGGTAGCTACAGTATTCTGCAGCGTCCCTTCCGGCACGTGGCGGGTCATACATGACATTTTTAGGAAGGATGCGGACTATGACTTGGCAAAAGCCTGCGGCAGCTTGTGTGGCCCCATTCTCTTCGCTTTCATGGTTTATCAGATGCGCAGCCTGAATCCGGTCGGGATGATGGCCTGCGTATTTGGTGTAGTTCTCGTTGGACAGGCTATCCGCACTGCATTAACGGCTCTCACTTTTCTCCCCTTCTCTATGATGACAGAGGAGAGCCGGAACGAAGCTTCAGAAGAGATGACAGGGTTGAGCCCGAACGGGCCAGATTCCCGGAAAGAAGAGAGACTGCCCAAAAACGATGAAGCAACGAAGAGAGAAAGGTTGGTGTGGAACATGATCATATACTTTTACGAGCACAACGTCTCCTTCTTCGCAAGTGAATTTGGCATGATCACGATTCTCGAAATCACTTATGGATGGTCAGTTGGAGCATGCGCGCTTGCCATGTCCGCAAAACAAGTGGCAAGATTTCTGATCATCCAGATTCTCGGCAAAATCCATGAAACACGTCAGTTGACGGAGGCTGCATTATTCCTTGCTACGGCTTGTGCTGCAATGTGGGGTTCACTTTTTCTCTTCCGCTGGCACTGGTCTGGGAGCTCTGGAGCCATCAGCCTGCTGGTGGCCGACAGTATGATTTACTGCGCCACATGTGCCGGGACTTATCCATCAAGAACTTGGAGCAAGGACACATACAAAGGGAGGCCAGACCTGCAGTGGTTGAGGGCTGAACACCGCTGGCAGACAGGTCACGCTCCTGCAGTCTGTTCGTTGCTGGTATCGATCCTCATAAGGTTCCTCGTGGACAAGGGCGGACGGAACTCCTTCGCGATCTTTCAACTTGTCGTCTGCTTCCTGGCCTTCTGTACTGCATGCAAAGCCGTGTATTTGAAGGAGGAAGTTGACGAGGCAGGGTGACCGGCAAGTCCTTCCGCAGTTGTTTCAAGCTAGATATGATGAAGATTAAATGCCAAAGCAGGTTTGGATTCAAGCTTGATATGAAGATCAGAATTTTAAACCCGCTTTCGATTCGGGGCTACATGTGTCAGTTCGTGGCTGAGCTTTGCTAGTTTGAGCGACGACCCCTCCCAGGAGACGAAGACGACTGTGCCTCCGGACGAAGCCATGCCGAAGCTTCAGCAGCCCAACCTGGGCATCGGGCGCCTTTCGAGTGCAAGCGCCGTGGCCGCAGGTCATGCCTCAACGTGTGCCATCAGTGAAGCTGGACAGCTCGTCTGCTTCGGCGAAACTGAAGATGCTTTGCCACGAGACCAGGGTCCCATGGTGGCCGTGGCTGCCGGAGATCACTACATGTGTGTCGTGAACGCGAGTGGCGAGCTGGTTTGCTTCGGAGACAATCGCTATGGTCAGTGCGATGTGCCTCTCGATCTCGGCCCGGTGGTGGCCGTGGCTGCCGGATTTGGCCACACCTGTGCCGTGAAGGCCAGTGGCGAGCTGGTTTGCTTCGGACACAATCGCTATGGTCAGTGCGATGTGCCTCTCGATCTCGGCCCGGTGGTGGCCGTGGCTGCCGGATTGCGTCACACCTGTGCCGTGAAGGCGAGTGGCGAGCTGGTGTGCTTCGGAGGCAATGATTTTGGTAAGTCCGATGTGCCTGCCGATCTCGGTCCAGTGGTGGCCGTGGCTGCGGGAAGACATCACACCTGTGCGGTGAAGGCGAGTGGCGAGCTGGTTTGCTTCGGACGCAATCGCTTTGGTCAGTGTGATGTGCCTGCCGACCTCGGTCCAGTGGTGGCCGTGGCTGCGGGAAGACATCACACCTGTGCGGTGAAGGCGAGTGGCGAGCTGGTTTGCTTCGGAGACAATCACTCTGATCAGTGCGATGTGCCTGCCGATCTCGGTCCGGTGGTGGCCGTGGCTGCCGGATTGCGTCACACCTGTGCCGTGAAGGCGAGTGGCGAGCTGGTGTGCTTCGGAGACAATTTGATGGCTCAGTGCAACATGCCGGCAGGCTTCAAGGTTTGCCTTGCCCCACAGTCCATCGGCACACCCACACCCGATCCAGCGCAGGAGGTGCGGCCATGCCGAAGCTTCAGCAGCCCAACCTGGGCATCGCAAACACCCGAAGCCCTTAAGACCCTAAATCCTGACGCCAGACAAGGCCAATCAGCGAAATCCTTAACCCCAAAACCAATTCCCTTTCTAAAGAATTGACGGTTGTGCAGGGCGTGGGTCATATTCTGCAGTTTTCAGTTTTCACTTTTTGGACCGCAGGTCGCCTTTTTGACTGATGCAGCAGCCCGGCGTCTCGGAGTACCGCTCCGCACACCCGTGTCTGTGCTGGAGAGGAGAGGCGACCTGCTCAGAGTTTCCCTCCCCGATGGCATTATGGCCTGGGTACAGTATCTGGATGTGAACGAGGAGAAGGCGGGGAAAGTGGGAAAAGTGTTGGTGTGAGNNCAGGTGGGGGGGGTCCACAACAGAAGCTTTCATGTTTGAAGCTCCTTCCCCTTGCGGTGTGGTGCATCCAAAACCCTTAACACCTTAAGCCCCCTAGCCCTTTCAGGATGGCGACCCCACGCAGAAGAAGGAGACTGGGGCACCAGACGAGGCAAAACCCTGAACGCCAGCAAAAGGCCACAGAGGAATCCAAGACGTTTTACTCGTGTGTGTTCAGCAAGGGATAGCCAGGGTTTGCTGCCTGGAGTGGCTAATTCGATGCGTTTTCCCATATCTGGACTTGCTCGCAGATTCACACCGGATGTATCGTGCTGGCAGCAAAATCTGTTTGCGTGCATGATCGGCTTGCACATGCAACGGGTTATGCGAAGCTTGGTGTGCAATATCCAGAACCCGCTTGACCCTGTGCTCTTGGATCAAGAAGACGAGAACGCTGAACGCATTCTTATAGCATGACAGTCCAGAACTATTCTGGATCAAAGTGAATCTACGCCATGCGTTGAAAGTCTGCACCAAGTCGTATAGGCTTGACGCGAGCATGGAGCAGGAGTAAGAGTTCTTTGCCAGAGTGGGCAGATCGATGGGCCTCCGGCTGAGCAACCGTGGGGCTCTACAGCTGGCTGGCTGAGGTCGCCATTGAGGGGGAAGCGGAAAGGTTTGCAACAGGTGCCGGTCGTGACGACTTAAACCATCCGGCCACGTCGTGTGCGCACACGATTTCCGAGTTTACCACGCTGTTAGGGTGTTTCCAACAAGATCAACATACCTTTATTCCCTGTCGGCACATTAGGCGTACTTCAAGGCTTTCCTTTTGCTGAGTTTTGCAGCTCGAGACCCATTTCTGGGGTTGGTAGGGCTGGGCACAAACTCGCATAAGCTCCCCAGGTGAAGCTTCCGTGCACGGGTGCTCCCCTGCAGGCTCAGGTGTACTGTGTCCCTTTTCCGTACAGCTTTCCACGAAGGCACTGGCTCCGCGTGTTGAGCGCTCCGATCGTGCACCTCGGCCAGCCTCGCAGCTTTGGCCTGGAGCAATGAGATGGGAAGGCCCGGTCTCAAGTGTGACAGTTGCGTTGAGTCGTCGCTGCAAGGACATCTGGTTCTGTCACTGTTTTGCCAACTGCACCAACACCGAAAGCCCACCTCCAACTTCGACAACATGTTCGGTGCCGAGCCGACATCATCCTCTGCCAAACAAGTCGTGACAGGTTGACACCTTAGCATCGCGAGCAGAAGTCCATGACGGCTCGGACAGGCCTCAATTGCGTGCAGCATGCAAAGGTCCTTGGAGCGAGTTGAGATTTTGCAGCAAGCGGCAGTGCTGCAGTGGATGTCTCAAAGGTCTCCTTGTGATCTGTGGCACATCGAGCTCAGCTGCTGGCTCGAGGCATATGATCTTGACAGCACGCTTGCTTGCTGTTAGCGAGGGAGAGTAAATTCGGAAGCAAAGGCATGCAGACTTTGGTATAGGCTTGCCTCTTGCCAACGGTCGGTTCAGCTTGGCCATGCTTCCCAGATCAGCACAGCCACGACACGCAAAATGCCTTGCAGCCTTGCGGAACGTCGTGCAGACGACCACGACCGGAGACAACTACAATACGCCCTACTCGTATTGCGTGATTGCACGAGGGCTGTCCTCGCATGAGTTGATGACCTTTGGCGCCGGTTTGTCCAGAAAGAGTTGATAGCTTTCGGAAGTTCCGTGTGCGTTGTGATGGTTGGAGATCTCACAGTGGCATGTACAGTGGCAGAGGATTCCCATGCATCCAGCATAATCTGGTGTTGCAGGAAGTCCTCCTGTCCGTAGTCGGGAGCTAAACGAGATGTCGAAGAAGGCAGCTAAACGGGCTTGAGCTGGGATTTCCAGTCAGCCAAGAGGGGGAGGTTTCGGCATGTCATCTATCTGGTGCACCTCCAACAAGCCTTGAGAGCCCAAGACAGACACAGACACAGACACAGACACAGACACAGACACAGACACACACACAGAGACAGAC